GTGGTGTCGATCATGCGCTTGAACAGAGACGGGCCGTCTCCGTGAGTAGGAAGGTTTCCAGGTTGTCCGAAGATTTCAATTCTGAGATCGCCAGTTATGCTTGAAGCTAAGCAGTTGTAGAGGCATCGTGAGTTCTGAATGGCACGAGGATCAACTCTGGCAGTATGTTCAGCCTGAAGGGTGGCAAGAGAAATAGAGTGGTAATCGGAGAGAAGATGGTGTGTACCATATGTGAGAATTCCATTAGGAGGCGGAGCATCCCATTTTACTTCTGCAGCTCGGGTTTGGATAAGGAGTACGAACTGAAAAAGTTCTTCAAGAACTCCCGCCCAAGAGGTTCGTAGTGGAGCACTGGCGTGAGCCACCGCTGTTGAACCCTGTCGCGAAGAGATGTCAAATGGCGTAGCATCATCAAAAGAATCAAGGATTGGAGTTGGTGGAACCGCGACAGCTGGTGGAGCAGCCGCAGCAGGAACAGCAATAGGAGCAGCAGCTTGTGCAGCCAGCATCTGTTGTAGCAGCTGCAAGGTTTGCGCAATGTTGGCAAATGCTGCATCTTGTTGATCAGCCATGTTTCGTTGTGTTCGGGCAATGATCTGATGATTCTGTGAAGCACGATTGGGCTTAAAAGGATTTGAAGGTGGAGTGCGATAGGGCTCAAAAGGGTAGTTGTCGAGGTTTAACAATGGAGTGCTGAATACTGGAGTGCTGAATACTCAAAAGTACGATTTCGTGAGGAAGATCTTCCGTTAGGAATCGTTGGGCTCATAACCTATGAATATATCGTTGTAATGATGTAAAGTAAAGATTATGATTTTAAAACAACAAAGAAAGAGAAAACCAGAGATAGGCGAAGTTGCGTATCGAATCAAAGATCCTTCGAACACGCACTTGAGACATGAAGCGTATCGAGAGAAGCGTATCGAATAAAAGATCCTTCGAGTACGCATTTGAGACACGAAACGGATCGACTCTCTCGATTCATGTGTATGACTCTGGAGGTTAATCTCTCATTGATTGCTCAAAGAAGCTTATTGATTTGCTTGTACAGTAACGCATTTACAAGTTATTTGCGCAGCTTCCAACTAAAAGGAATTCATTTGCTAAACCCTAGGACATGATTATTTACTGTAATCATACCCGTTATACATACTAAGTCCCAGTGAAAGTTTTTGTCTACTTAAAGTCCTATACGATTCATTGTATTGTTGATTGAAAAAGCACAAAATAGTCGTATCGCATACTTTGACTAGTACTAATGCCTCTCAGGCTTGTTGTCATAATTGTCCATCGAGACACAGAACTTCTCTAAATCAATTTTTAGGAAAATTTCCTTTTTCTAAAGAAGCAATAAAAGCCCAAGTACATGAGATTTTTGACAGAGCATCAGCCAGTCACGGCGAAACGAAGAGTGGAGAACAGCTGAAAAAATAACTTTCGACCTTAGCATGACTTGTAGCTAGCTCCTAAGTGATCTATTTTTGGCTATAGGGGCTACATGTACGGTAGAACTGTGAAGGTAGATGAAACTGACGAGCGAGCAAAAGGCGTTTGTACTCTACTTCTGACAGTCATCTATACAATTAGGGCAAATGGGCGTTCGCCCATCAAGTTTGCAGCCAAAGATCATGGCTTTTATCATCGAAGGATACCAGGAGGATGTGCAAAATGAGGACAGATGTAGGCATGAAGGTTCAGTGCCTTATCCGATCGGTATCTCTCCCATTGCTTCTATGATAGAAATGTTTAGGTCAAAAAAAATAGCAGAACGGGAATTGGAGCCAGATTCCATCGAATTGCCATTATAATAATTTTTTACTGTTGGAGACCGTGATCTTCCTGGGGCCTACAATAAAACTGTGCAATTGAAAAAACATACAACTATTTTTCCGATCGGGGAACTTTTCTTACTTACTATCCCAGAAACGCCTGTGATACAACGCAATCGAATAAAGCAAATATAGAATACAAATTTTCATCGTAATGTTAACAATTTGAGCACTTTTATTCAGACAAAAATCGGAAGAAATGCTCTCAAACCATTGTCGCAAATGTATTCTATTCAGTTATATTGAAAGCATGCAATTAAATTCAATCAAAATTTTATAGCAAGGCCTAATTGAAATGCTCTTTTGATAATCAATTGACGAATGAAGAAGTTTCAACAATGCTTTTATTATGGATTACGTGCTTTGAATCAACTTGTCGAATTCCCAAGTAGGTAGCGATCAATAATAGCAAGGTTTCATCAGCTTCTGGCTGGTAGTAACTAACGAAGCTTGCTGATGAATAATAGATAAGAATAGCTGAACGAGAATGAATGAATGAATTGATGCATGAGTTTGATCAAGCCGCCTATCTGCTCTAGTGAATGTATTCTTCAAAAACTTGTTTGTTAAGACGGCCGTGAATTTCCTAGAATTTGCATATCCGAGATCAGCATGATATGATCAGAACTGAACTCTGTTGATGGCAGTGCTTCACCATGTCGGGTGAGAATACCCTCATCAGGAATGGGTGCTGCAGAGATGGGGCGCAAGTTTTGGACGGAGTACCATGCATAATCAAGAACCCCCTTGAAGTTGGTGGTGTAATTTGTTTGGATAGGCTCTTCTCCAAGCACCGTTTGATACGCACTACCCAACTGGAAGGAATGCGTTATATTCATGGGATCAGGTAACACATTTGGGACATCATCCCCAACTGTAATATTCACGTCTGGGTGACCTGGATGAACTGTCTGACGGGCAAGCAAGTCGTACACAGCTGTATCTGGGGTTGAATTAAAGTCTCCACATATCATTAGTGGAAGATTTGTTCCCCGACTCAGCACGAAGTTTTCGAGTTCTTGCAACAGCTGCCAAGCCTGCCAGAGCTTGACATCTGGAAAGTCTTTATTACTGTAAAGGTGTGTGTTTGCAATGCAAACTTGATTAATTGGGTCACGATTTGCTCTGCTTGCATGAGTAGGCTGTGCAAGCTCAAGCACGACAAGTTGAGCGACGTTGTCTTTCGAGAGCCTATTCAAGAAAGACACTGTCTCTTCACTTCGAGAGCTTAGACCAAGGACTTGGGTGGCTTGCCTTTGCGCAAGCTCGTTGAATTCGATGCTGTATGACTCAACGAGATGAAACTTGGTTCGTCTCCAGAATAGTGCACAGCCGTCGACTTTTCCAGCCAAACCCATAGACTGTCTGGTCTTCTGTTTGTAGACACCTTCAAAGCCTTGATCGCTCATAGCTGCGTATAGATGATTCTCATAATGATCCGCTTGCACTTCTTGTAAGCATATAACGTCCGGAGAGGCATCTATGATCTCTCTCATGATGTTCTGAAATCTAGAGAGCATATATTAGAAAGAAAAAGAGACTACCCGCAATATCAGCGCAATTCGAGCTGACTTACCTGTACTCCCACGATAAAGCCCAGATATCGCAATAAGGATACTGCTGTTGTGTGGCATAAATCTCTGCAAGCACATTATAGGTTGCAATTCTGAATCTCGCACCTCCTGAAGCCCCATTGGCAGATTTGGTTGTGACAAAACTCCTCTTCAATGGATCTGGAGCTCGAGATAAAACAAGATCCGTCTTCACCACCCTATGCATCAGAAGCTCCCCAGTTTCAGAAGAGTAAGCTGCAGCTTCTAATTTGAGCTTTCTTCCAATATCTTCTGGACCGGCAATGTATATCTGGTCTCGACTTATTTCTATCCACTCTTCGCCTTTTAGATCAGCGTTGTAGTCCCCAAAAGAATTGTAGCCTCCGACATAGCCTCTTGGAGTTCCAGGTGTTGACGCTGAAGCCTTCATGCCATTCATTCGACCCAGACTCCCAGATGATCCAACTGATCGAGCATCATCATTATCGTTGCTGCCTGTTGATCCTGAACGCTGTCGAATCGGTGTGTTATTTCGGCTCTGCTGCTGCATATCTTTTGGTACCGTGTACTGAGTTTTCCACGCACTGACAAAACAGTTAGAGTTGCAGAAAGTACACTTGAACAGGCTCGACTGAGTCGATACACACTGTAACGAGCATCCAGATCCTCCGATTGCATGCAATGACCAATCATGGGGGCTGAAGGAGTTTCGTCGTGGACATCCTTCGTAAGCGCAAGGATCATGAGTTGGTCCTCGAAACCATCGATAACTGAATTCGTGGCTTGGTGGTGGCTCTCGCATCTTTTTCGAGTGGGGAGGCAATGGCTTGTCAGCTTCTCGATCGTCGAGTTTTTTCCCATACATGTAAGCATGTGGTCTCATGGTACATCCTTCAACTGGTCTATCAACCCGCAGGGAAAGATGCCACGAGTATGAATACTCCTTCGTGTTCATCATACACTATCCCTTGATGGGGATCAGCTAAACAACAAGGGAGGTTCAACTGCTAGTCCTAGTTGTCCTTTGTCCTTCCCAATGTACGAGACTCCCTAATTCGCCAACCTGCTTCCTTTTGAAGAATTCGAGGAAGAGATATGACTTCCAGAGACTTATCTTCAACAACGGCAGCTCGAGACTACTATACAGTAATCTTGGTGACGGGCATTATGCAGCGGCAACTCATCGATGTTACTCGGGGATCAACCCCGCAAATGCTCAAATTTTACATGTTCCCCTTTTTCGTACTGGAACGCAGCTGCAGGTATATTACTAATACTATTGGTATGTAACGTGTAACAGTACATCCTTTGACTGATTGCAAACTACCTAGCAGCTTCAATTTTGCTCTTTTTACCCATGCACGACCTTCCCAAATAAAAGGTTTGTGCCTCTCAAAAAGTAGGACCTAGTGCCTTCGCAGAAAGATTTATTGTTCTCGTGGAAGGATCCCATTTGTATGGCTGGTTCACCGCCCAAGCGTTCGCAAACACAGCCTATAAATGGAGACACTCGTGTGCTGGAGGAACTCATTCTTCAATCCTTACAATCCACGACTTTGAAAAGTGCAAGTTATTCACTTTTTTTTTAAATTAGGATTTACAAAGCCTATGGTCTCCCTCAATCTTGTTGAGAGTTTGGGTGGTTCCTGGTTGTTGTTGCCCCATTTTAACCAATGATATTCTCAATTGAAAAGAAGAGGTTGGAACTTTGTGCTCTGCCTTCTGAATCATCGGCTGACGACAACAATTTGAACCCTCTTTTCAGTCGACGTGGTGAGGCCTGAACGGTCTTTTCCTCTCTTTCCCTTTTCAGATTCGTCAACGGATTCGATTTTCTATCCTTGGGGCTTGGATACGACAACTTTTTATGATTCCAATCCATTCGTAGAATTTTCGGTTTCCCTGCCTCAATTCGTGCTGCCTGAAGGGCTTGTTGAAACGCCTGGAACCGCAATTTGCCAGACGATCTATGGAACATGTGAGTAACGAATAGATGTGAAACACTCTTCACCACACCAAGCGGCTACATACCTTGCTGTTTTGCCTAAATGTAAGTCGTCGACTAGACCACCTTCCCATCTTTGAATTTTTGACTCGGCTAGCACTGTGAATGGAGCGTCGTGACACTCAAAAAAGAAAACCAGGTATCGTTTCCCGAGATGCTTCTTGGCCAATAGTCGAGCGCTTCCAACTGCCAATCTTGGATCGTAAATTATTGCAGGCCAATATCCAAAGCCTATACCCCCTTGCGCCCAGCAGACCTCCGAAAATCTTTGTATGACAGTAGAGGGCAAGGCACCAATAAGCTGATCTAGACCGTCTGCTTCGAGTGACAGAACCTTGCATTTGCCTGCAGAGGCAATGTTAGACAAGCCCAAAAGCCGCGGGGGGGGGGGGGGACAAGCACTTACTACTTACAACAGTACCAATCTCCTGTCGGTATGGAGCGCAGCGGAGGGTCTAAACAGTAAGTATGATACTCACCGTTGCACCCCTCGCACAGTAATATGTTTGCATGATCATCATCTTCGCTGCAACATAGGCAACCAGTGCCGAAATTTGAGCTGTCGACTCTTACACTTTTGACTTCATCTTTCTCTTCCCGTTGGATGTCCACGATCAGAGACAAACGTTGTTCTGGTTGAAGGAACATGCCACTTTTATTCGCCATTGTCAACCTCGCTTTCTTGGTCTCATTTGCAAGAAAAATACGAACGCTGATGGATTTTTTGAATAATTAATGATGATCAAATAGGAGAGATGTTGTATTTTCCCCCTAAAATCCCACCCCTTTTCTACGTTTCTAATAAAAATTAAACCTTTGTCCGGTTGCTGACAGACCTTACCAAGGAGCTGCAAAGAACTTCAGCGAAATCAAACGCACAACTGCTCTTTTGGATCCAAATAGGCCGAATAGAAAAGAAGACATGGAGGAGGAAACAGCAACGAAAGTGGGGCAGTCCGAAAAGGATAGTAACCCGCCTCTCATTGCAGCGGCGAAGCGATTGGAACGATTGCTAGGCGGTGGACTGCAGTCAAAGAATCGAAGTGTCCATACGTACACAAATCCTGCCAAAGTTGTCCGTAGATGGCTTGGGACCGCTTCAGGTGCTGCAGGAACTGCCAGTCCAGACGAGATTGCACAAGCTGCGGTGGTTTTATTGGATCCGATCGGAATTTGCTCCAGGGGTCGGTCTTTTCTGACTGATGGGTTTTCTGCTGACGGATTGGCTGGTACTGGTAAAGATGAAGAAAAAATCTATTTGACGATTGCTTCCAGCCGTGAAATCGAGAGTTGGTTGATAAGCTTGCTAGTTCGTTGTCTAAGAAAGAAAGGAAAGGCATCGGAGGCATACGAGCTGTCAGAAAAAGGCGTCGAAACAATCGCCATGCACTTGTCAGTGGCTTCACCAGGCATTCCGTCTACAGGTGCTTCCACTACATCTCTCTTTCCTCTTCTAGCACGTATGTATAGGTACAGATCCTTGTGTGCGACCGCTCTGAATGATCAAAATCTCAATGATAGACTGAGAGCGGACATGGCCAAAGCGCACAACATGGCTTGTGTTCGTAGAGACGTCGATTGCCAAGCGACTTTGCTCAATCTTATGCTCGCTGATTTGATTGTCCACTCTCAAAGTAAGTATTTCGCACTCACGAACATAAAAATGAATGCTCCCTCACCCTTTTATGACTGAACCCCAAAGTTGAGCAAGCGCATAAGCTACTTTCAAACTCTGCTTTTCCGGAATCAGCATCCAATAATCAAATGTGCCGTTACATGTTCCACAGTGGCCGCATTCAATCTTTGAGGCTGGAATACACCAAGGCGTTTTCTAACTTGAGCCAATGCCTGCGTAAGGCCCCAACAAATACTGGCCTTGGTTTCAGGACTGCTGCTCAACGCCTTTTGGTTGTTGTCCAGTTGCTCATGGGTGAAATTCCCGATCGACAAGTATTCTTCACAAAGGGAATGCAAACTGAGTTGGCCCCATACTTGGCAATTACGCAAGCTGTCAGAAGGGGTGATTTGGTGGTTTTCAATTCTGTTGTATCAGAACAGGCATCTCTTCTTCAGAAAGATAACACCTACATCTTGATCTCTCGTCTGGCTCACCAAGTTGTAAAAGCAGGCTTGCGAAAGCTCCACATGAGCTACAGCCGGTTGTCCTTGCAAGATGTTGCCGATCGCCTCGGTTTACCATCAGCAAAGTCTGCCGAGTTTGTTGTTGCAAAAGCTGTAAGAGACGGCGTACTCGATGCCACCATCCATCACAAAGAAGGCTATGTACAATCGCACGATCTTGTCGACATCTATGCTACGAAAGAACCAACAGAAGCATTTCATCGTCGAATTGCTTATTGCCTTACCACTCATAATGATGCGGTGCGTGGAATGCGATACCCCCCTGACGCCTACAAGAAGCAGCTTGAAGCAAGTCGTGGCAATCGTCGCAAGCGCAATGACGACAAAACGGATGAAGAAAAAGCGCAGGAGATAGAAGATGAACTGGACGAAGATTACTAAACACTTGGTGTAGCCTGTTCTTCATCATTGCATGTAGGCAGGCGTCCACACCTAAAATTCAGTTTAAACAAATTCAAATGATAACCAGGTTCTAAAATAGAATCGCAATTAGCCGAAGAAAGGAAAGATTAAAAAATGACTAAGGGTTGATCATTGAAAGTTGTTGCAGTTCTTGCGGATGACCTGTCGGTCCAGTCTGGTTTGTTGCGGCCTCAGGGTGTGGGGCTATCCCGTTCTGACCATGAACGCGCTTGTGCTGTACTTTCAGTCGTTTATTTCCAATCTGGAACCCATTCATTTGCTCAATTGCAGACTCCGCCGACATGACCGAATCATACGATACAAATCCTGAACCAGCCATGAGACAACGCAATCACAAATTTTTCCTAGAACTTGTACGATTTGACACTTACCGAACCCTTTACTTTCACCCGTGTACTTATCAACATATACTTTTGCACTGATTACATTTCCAAAGGGGTTAAATGCTGTCGCAAGATCGGCATCAGTTAGATCGTGCGGCAGGTGGTAGACGAATAGGTTTGCTCCTGCAGGACCCTCTCGCGGTCGAGGGTTAGACGGTCTTGAGTCGTGGCGAGTCTGGTATCCATACGGGGGAGTTGGCCCAAACTGTGGGTACATGAAATGTGGAGGCGGAGGTGGCGGTGCATGCGGATGGGGAGGATTTCCGGTCGAGTACGGCCCTGCAAACTGAGGAGGAATTGGGTATTGATGTCCCGCAGTATGTGGGTGCATTGGTATTGGCGGTGGGACTTGATAAGCTGGGTAGCCTTGCCCTGCCCCCATGACTGCTAGAAGTTCTTGTCGCCTCGCATTCCGCATATGCCTTTGCTGTCGCTGATGTTTATTGTCAGCAAATTTCACTATTAATGGACGTGCAGATCCGTCCATGACAATGTTGTTATGCAGATTTTCAATGGCTTGCAAAGCCGACTCTCTTTTCATGAATCGGAGAAATGCTGCGCACTTACTTGTACCATCCGCATTCCGAATCATATATATCTCCCTGATATCTCCAAACGGAGCAAAGAGTTCTCGGACTTCTTCTTCACTGGCTTTTCGAGAGAGCATACCAATGAAGAGTTTATTTTCTGGCACTTTCGTCCGCGATCGAAGCAAAGCTTAGATGAGGTGGTGACGACGACCTAATGCACACACTTAGCACTCACCTGTTGGTTCTGCAGGTTTCACCTGGGCCGGTCTACGAGCACCCGGAAATGTGAATTTGTCATGCAATGCTTCCTGTGCTTGCTCTGCATCATTCGCAGCCCAGAAAGTAACAAAAGCACATCCCCGGTGAAGACCTGTGTGCTTGTCTCGAATTATTGCGACATCTTTTAAAGGACCAAACGGATCGAACGTAGGGAAGATGTCTTCTTCGCTTAAACTTTTTGGAACCTAAAAAAAGAGTCCAACAACATTACACACACAAATCGTGAATAAATACAATCGAATCTAGAACCCCGAGAACTAGGTAGCGTACCTGTCCCACGAATAGTTTTAAGGGCTGGTCATCGTCGGTCTCTCCACTATGACCCTCTTTTTCATGATGTACTACATTTGGAACCTCGTTCATACCCATAGAATGAAACTGATTATCGAGAGCAGGCGTTCCTTGATGAACCATGGGTGCATTTGCAAAAGCTTGATTTGGTGGAGCTACGCCATTTGAAGTCGCAGATGTCATCAAGTTAACCTGACTTCCGCCACCCTTACAACTGTCCGCAATCGACCCTTCCTTCTTCTCGTCGACTGTTACACGGACGCCAGCAACAGAGATTTCTTGCTGTGGTGACTGTGTCGATGCAGTTTGTGTGCTTGTTGTTGGCACGGCTGCACTTGATGATTGCATCCTATAGAAGCCTCCCTGGGAACCAAGCAGAGAAATCTAGTAATGACAGAGGGCTGGTCTCTTGACGACAAAACCTGGACACCGACTTTACTATTTCCATCAACGTAGTGAAAGAGTTCGAAATCAGGAGGAAAAGAGTTGAGTTTGCAGAGCATGAGAGAAAACGCCAGCCGGAATCTCATTTGTCACTTTCCGATTCTCTACCTACTGTACGAATCTACGTAGCAGTAGTAGCGGTCCTAATTACTGTAGTATTTTAGTTCCATTTCAAAATTCTTACCGATGAGACGTTCCAAAGAATCCTATAAGTGAATATGAGCAATGCTGGCGGGCTGACGCGGGAGTGGCTGGGGCCTCCCAAAGATACTATTTGATTCAATTGATTTTTAAAAACAGCGTAGTTTTGTTACTCTTCGTTCTCAATTTCAATATTTTCTTCCATGGCATTCCTAAAGTCTTCAAACGATACTTTCCCATCACAGTCATTGTCCAAAAATACAAAAATTTCTTTCGCTTGTGCTTCAGACTTAAACATGGCCACAAAATCTTCCAATATCAAATAATCTGTGTCTGAATGTTTGAAGTGATCAAAAGCAAATTTGACCTTGTCTTCGCGTATCACAAGACTCTTGTCCATGGTGGCGGCCAAGAATGCCTTCCAACTGAATGTATCAGTATCAGAGAGTCGCAGCTCTTCTTTCAATGTGCTTATATCTGCTTGGATTTCCTGTGGGAAGCTACCTGTTTTTGTCATAAAGAAAAATTGATTTTAGAAAAGCAAAACGAAAAGTTTAGAATCACGCAATTGCGACATACCACGAGAGATGGCATCATCTAGTTCCGTAAGTGTAATAACACCATCCCCTGACTGGTCTATTCGGCAGAATATGTCTCCGAGGGAGCCAACTTCAGCTTGGGTTAAACTCGAAGCTATCGCGAGCAAAGCTGCTTTTTTCAGCTTTTGCATCGCAAGAAACTTTCGGAAAGTCGTCCCACGATCAGTATTTCTTAGCAAGCTTGGTTTTTCGTCTACTTTCTCGTCTACTGACGCGTGCATTTGAATCCATCTATGATTCATCGCTTGGAGTGCTGTGGGCCTGTTCAAACAAAAAGATGAGCTTCTGTGCTCAGCCGCAAAGCGATTGATTCCATCTTTCTTACCTTTCCCTTGGGTCCTTTTGCAGCAAATACCTCACAAACTCCTTGGCGGTTGAGCTTATGTTGTCCCATTCTGGCGATGGAAAATCGAACTTTCCAGTCCGTACTGAATCAAAAATTTCGGCATCTGAATCACCATAAAATGGAGGATAGCCACATAGGAGAATGTAAGTGATTACACCGATCGACCAAATATCACAACTCTTCGTGTACTCCCTCCTCAAAACCTCCGGTGCAACATAGTATGGAGTTCCTGGAACCACATTGTGAATGCATAATTAGACGACAGTCTTGCACAGGGATTTGAAACTCTGGATGATGCTTACCAACTTTTGTTTTCATGATTCCTTGATTGGCATCGTTGTGTCGCGATAAACCGAAGTCAATAATCTTGATCGGAGCGTCTTCTGCTTCCGTAAGAAAGAGAAAATTCTCAGGTTTCAAATCTCTATGAACAATTCCTTTTACGTCATGACAGTATGCAATAGCGTCTAGAATGTCCTGGACAAGTTGCGATGCGTCATGCTCTGAAAAATGACCTTCTGCAGATTGAGTCTTGGCGATGATACGATCAAAGAGTTCTCCACCCGTGCACAGCTCGGTTACAAGGTGCAGGTACTTTGCATCTTCAAATACATCAATCAATGCAATAATATTTGGATGTTTGACTTCTTTCAGTATTTGAATTTCACGCTTCAAAACTTCAATTTTTGATACTTTTGACTTTCGAATGGATTTTATTGCAAACCACTCTTTGGTTTCACGATCCATGCATTTTCGCACTACACCATAATGCCCATGACCAAGTTCCTTAGGATTTATGTGGTATCTGATCAGAGAGGAGAGAAGATTGAGGATTACACCTGACTGATGACAACAACTTTCGAAACTATTCAAACATACTTCACTCGAACATCTGCAAGTGCATCTGTAATCATGACAGGCTCCGACCGATCTCGTCGCGCTGACGAAGTTCCAGCAAATGTATGAGCACTTGGTTCCATAGTGACTACCCTTCTAGAGTCTCCATTAGAGTTCTCTTTAGTTGACTGATCTGCGCCTTTACCGTCTGATGAAGCTTCTCCACCGGAGCGAGATTCTTTCGCGCGTGTACCCTGTCCCTTTGACTTTTGGCCCCTTGATTTGTCTGTTGTCAACAATTTGTTAGATGGGAATGAATGAGTCGAAAACGCCACGACTGATCTGAAGTAACTCGTACCTGCTGAAGCTCTTTTCGAGCCCCCTTTGCGGGTGAAGGTGGAGGATTCGTTACCCATTCACTTTGCAAAATGAAAGCAGAGAGGAAGCCAGCGAAGGTTTGATGTGGAACGTAGCTGATGGTTTCGTTCGATCCTTACAGTTGTTCGCTCAATAATTCGGTATAAATATCAAAAGTACCATGTGACGTAGAGTTATACGTGCGAAAAGTCATATTTTACGTGCAGCGTTTATTATACTAGCTAGAGAGGCAAAATCAAATGATAGGGTACGATACCTCGGCAATGCTGAGAAAGATTAGTAGTCCACGTCTGGCAAGGAGTCACAAATTTTCGAAGCTGCATACATAAGGAAGACGATGATACCATTATTGTTCTAGCCTAATCTGGTTAAAGTCACCCAAGCAACGACTGAAGGAGAACAGGTGAGGACTCGCTAGATACAGACTTGACAAACTCTGTTTTGGAAACCTCCACTTCGCCATTTAGAAGTTCGTATACGTAGCACACAAGTTTGTTCTCCTGAATAGCAAGTAGAATAAATGATGGAGTAACTTCTCGGCTATGCACAGAAGGTGCCCCGCTAATGGAGCCGGGATTTATATGATAGAAACCATCACGAAGGACAACTTCGTTTTCATGGGAGTCTGAAAGGGGGGATGAAGGAAACGCCATTAGAAAGTCAACATGCATTTCTTGAGCAACAACTAGTTGAGTTGACTTACAGCCTGTAACGAGGATGTCAACTTTCAGTTTCCTCCTCATTCGCGCCTTTGCATCATGTGATCCATGGGGCACAATCTGATGTCCGTGTATGACTCCGATTCGAAAGTTCCCGACGGTACACAGCGAATGCTCTGGAAATCCCATATCTTCATCATCGAAGTCACCACGACAGCATACAAAATTCGGTGCAAGAGCACGAAACTCATTGTAATGTTCCAGGCTAATGTTACCGGTACAAATTACGTGTTGCATTTTGTTTGGCACCAGCATCCTTCGAAATGAAGATGAAGGTTAGTTAGAAGCATAAAAGCATTTATTGTGTTGCCAACCACGATTCGGGATTAGTCAGCGCACCTTTTGAAGCTCTCGTGAATAGAAGTTGCTCTATCTGGCATGTGAAGATCCCCAAGAATGAGTACTAGCTCTCCAAAGTTTCCCATAGTTGCTTCCCTGTTCTAAGTTTGCTACTGCCTTGACGCTCTTTGATGCTTGCAATTCTTTTCAGTCCTGGCGGAATGGTACAGATCTAGGCGTTTGCTTTTTTCGGAAGAAAAAGACCCGTCATGGGGTGTTGGGATTCCCTGTATGCAGCCAATCAGAATGCAGTTGTAGCAGAAACAATTAGGAGCATGATAACGGATTTAACGCTATTACAAACGGCTTTAACGCTATTTGAAACTGTAATTTCTTAAGTAAAATACTTTTTTAGATCTTGCCGAAGTGTCGTCACACAAATATTTTGAAGACATCACGAATCACAATACTATGATTTGGGCTGTATCAGATAATGTTTAAAAATAGATATGCACTAGTAGTTAGTAGTATGTATTAACTTCGTTTTCTCCTTAGCTCTCCCTTGTCAGCCAAGTGTATGGCCCAAGGTTCTGCTGCTTTGAAGGATTTGCTACTGGCGAAGGGATGGGGGTTCCTTGAAAGTAGGGAGGAAAAGGATGTTTGTAGAAAGCTTGACAAAAATGCTGCTGGTAGGCCAAATGTCGTTCGTAGGCCAAGTCTAATTGTATCATTGTACGTTGCTGGTGGTAGCAAGCTTGATGGGGCGATGTTGTCCTACCTGCTGATTGTGCTGGCGCAAGAAAGTAGTGTTGGGGTGGCAATTGCATCTGTCGTGGTGCTATCATGATGGTGGGATGGGGTGCAAGATTTGTCACATTGATCCTGTTCTTCTTTTCCCTCTCGGCGCAAATCAGCGCCCCCGCTAAAGAAGAAATGTTCCCAGCATGAGCGGTTTGAATAGAACCAACTCTTCTCTTGGCATATGGATTTTTAATTTTGCTGCAGTCTTTGCATTTGCATCTTTTCGTTTTTTCATCATAAAGAACTCCACTGCTTTCTCTGGCAAGTTGTTGGGTCAAGTATTCAGAAAAAAATCTCTCTCCGTTGTCGGCTGGTAGCTCTTCTACTCTGCTGTGGACATTGCCAATGATTCCAGCCTCTTTGGCCAAGTTGTTGATAAATGCAAGTCGAAGGTGGTTGGTATAATGTGGTGCCCTGTGAAAGGCTGTAGGAATCTTCTTTCGCAACTTCGGATCAAGGGATCCAATATGAAGGCGGTATCGTATTCGCAAATTGTACAAGGCAATTCCAGCCGATGAAGTGTAGTCAGTTAGAGTTCGTCGTGTGCCACCATTTGAACAGTGGTGCATGATGTGATTGCCTTTCTCCACCTTTGATTCGGCGCCACGTGTACCTATGAATACAGGGAGCTTGCATTTCGACATCAAGCCTGGTTTGACACTAAAATATAGATCATCTTTGGGCAAGATGTCTTCCACCCAAATTGCATTCTTCATTTGCTCTTCGACTGCAGTTTCAGTTGGTCCTGTAAAAAGGTCAGCATGGATAGTATCATCATACTCATCCTTGAATTTGCGGTACCATGCAGCCAACTTGGATTGGATAACTGTCGCCTTGTATGACCAGACTCTCACATACTGACGATATTGTTTTGCTCTTTTAAGCTGGTTCTCTTCTGGGCACACCTTACCATCAACTTTTCCAAGATTCCCGGCTGAGATCTGCTGCATCACTGCAGCAAGATCTCCTTCATCATAGTAGTAGAGACACTCTTGAAGTGCACGAATAGCATCTCTATACAACTCATGATCTTCCACCAGCGTCTTTGTGATGCGCTGCAGATAGTGAAACCAGCCAAGGCGGCAAGTAATGCCACAACCCGAAAAAATATCGTTCCAAATTCTTGTTCCTCTTGGGCAGATATCAGAAACATGCACCTTTGGGCGAACATTTGGGCGGCGTGAGAATTGGGCAGCTTGGTGTGCATAGTGAGTTTGTTCTTCACTGGGCACAATAACAACAGATGCTATTTCCCCTGTTTCTGTTCCGATCGAGTGTGCACATTTTGCATTTTGTATGTCTTCGGGCCTATAGTTTCCCAACACAGCATAGGTGTGATCATCACAGGTGGTTGTCTTTGCTCCAACACTCTGAATCTCTCGACAGACTCTATCTTTGTCTGATACTCCAGTGGATATTAGTGCAGAGTGTGCTGCGACATCCTTCATGTCACGAAGATCTTTCCCACTTGGGCTGTACTGGCCAATCCAGTCCTCATATACTGGAAAGGGTTCTGTTACCGTTGTTCCAGTGTCTCTAGCCTGATTATAATATTCCTCTTCTTTGTCAAGATGCTTGTCCCCACGAGTTTCACTTAGCAGTTGTGCAAGTTGGTCGCCATTTCCATGTGTTATCATCAGCTTGTCCATCACATTTGTAAAAGTCTGGCTTAGATGCCTTTTATTGCTGAGTGCATACCTGGGATCCACAGGATACGCGTTGCGAAATTGAGCCGGAAGTTGGGCTAGTAATGGGCCATCGTTCCCTTTACATTGATAATCACACCAGGCAGTATTATTGCACTTGTACTTCATGGAACAAGCCCAACTTGTAACCCCAGAAATATCAATAATTGGGGTTGCAAATCCGCTGGTCTTGTAGTCATACTTCTGATGAATAAGCTCTCCTTTCCTGCACTCTGGGCAGATTAGTTGAATGCCTGGAAGATTGAGCTCCCACCGGACCAAGTAAATTGTCACGCCCTCAAGTTGACTGTAGTTGTGGTCTGGGCTTTTGGTCTTGTCATCTCTTGGGAAGGTAAACCCCAGAGTGCCAGGAGGAAACTGACGTTGGTAATTCTGGTGCTCCCAATAACTTTTTCCTCTTTTATCTTTTATCTTGAGTACATTATCTTCAGTGCCACATGTGATGCTTTTGTGGGTTTCCAGGAGGGCATCGATGGCAGCACCAATCACCTTCGGAACAGAGCTTGAATTAGTCATGCCAACCGAACAATTTGCCATCAACCTGTTGATTCTCTCCTTCAACGCTTGGACGGAAAATGGAGAAAGTTGATCCTCCAAAGAAGCTTCTTTCATGCTACTCTTGCTTGAGGGTGGCAATTCCACATTTTTTCTCTGCGAAAAAAACTTGTTGACGTCTGCTTGACTTTTTGGAATTGTGCTGCTGTGAAGTTCCATGCCTTCAAAGGGCCGATTATTTCTGGCCATCATTGCCGTGTCAAGCCTTCTTTGTAGGACTTCAACCTTGTCAAGTCGACCACCATCTGTCTCATAGTACTGCTTGTTGAGTCGGCAAGTTGGATCATGGGCACACTTTTTGGCCCCACCATTTTTAATCACAAAGCACCTGGGACATGTCTTTGTTCCTTCATCGCATCTTTTTTCAGCATTGTTTCCAGTCATTGTCTTCTGCCTCTTTGCCGGTTTCCCATGTTGTAGCTGTTGGGTTCGTTTTAGTTGCCGTTCCTGACCCATCTTCTTCATTGCTTTCACTCTGCCCACTGTATGTTGTGACTGCAGGCCCATCTTGACGTGGTCCTTTTCAGGTGGTTTCCTTGGTGAAAGGAAACTAAGAATTGTGCCCTGTTCTTTCTTATCTTTTTCACGTTCATTTTGGCTGCTTGCTGTATGCTGCATGGTGAACGTGTCGCTGCGAATGCCAACAGTTACATAGTCAATATACATAGATGACAAAATATTGAACGGGTAGATACGCGCCGAAATAAAACATCTCTGGAGTTTCTGGTAGTTGGGGGAACAGAGGATCCATCTATGTAGATCTTATACTATTTGACAGCGCCTACGGCGGAGTCAGTTCTCCGCCTACGGCGGAGGTTAGGGGGCGCCCCGCAGGCGGGGCGTTTTAGGGGCATTTTTTCTAGACCGCATAGCGAAGGACGGACTGATTCGAATGCCCAAGTAAGTATGCGAAGAAGGTACAGTAGCATGTAAGTGGAAAGCTACGTACCAAAGAGGTTGTGAAAAATGTTGGTGAAAGAGCCGCAACTGAGTTGCAGCTCATTCCTGTTGAAAGACTGCTCTGTATTTGACAGAGTGAAATTGAAGTCTAGGAATAGATAGTTATAAAAGTACTTACATAGATGCTGGCATCATCAATACCACTAGAGGCTTACCTTTCTTGCCCACATGCCAAACATGCCTCCCGGCGGGCTGCGCAGTTAAGTAGTCAAGGCATCCGACTTAAAGTACTGCTGGAAGTCCAAATATCCACCTGCTGTGACACGAACCTGGTTGGTCACAAAAATACCATTAGTGAGAGTATCAGTCATCCAGTTTTGGGTACTCGCAGGGTACAAAGCCCTGATGTCGGCGTAGGATGGCCTCAATCAGACCTTCAGTCCTCATAAAACTCAGAAATCAAAAATCAAAAACTAAAAGGTAGAAGATTATTTTCCATGCGCAGCATTAAAACAAAACTGTACCAGTCCTACACGTTTTCTACGTAAAGGAAAACAGTTGTTGTCGCTGAAACAGGAAAGAAATTTACTTTAACATGAAGGATAACATCGTCAACCCGCCGGAGAAGGATCCGAATTTTATCATGACTGTAGCTGACCAAGGTCAGGGAGGTCTTGAGGCCAAAACCCGATCAAATTCGACCACTCAATCGTCGATTGCTCTAACAACGGATAATCCTGCCATCACGACTCCCAAGCGCAGCAGCAAGCGAAACCCTTCAGAAACCGCCGAGGATGGCGCAATGAAAGGCCACTCGCTCTTTCCATCTGAAGTTCCCCAAGGTCAGGACGTCACGGTCAACACTTGCCCGAATCTGACCACTCCTTTGTCAATCAAGTTAACTAAGGACAATCTGCCTGATCCCACGACTTCAAAGAGCCAACGCAAGCATCCCCCTCCTTCCAAAACCGCCAAGGATGGCGCAGTACAAGGACGATCGCTCGTTGCCTACATCACAAAACTCAAGGGGTCAAAGTTTCACAGGCTCTACAAGAAGGCTTGGAGACAGGAGATGTTTGCTCTCGCAACGGCCCAACGCGTTATCACTACTGACGAAAAGTCGCCTTGCTTTTGGGAATTTTCGCTTGTGTTCGACCCAACATTAATTGTTCAACGCGTCGAGCCGTTGACTTGGATGTGGCGAACGGCATCCGAATTCTTTGCTAATCCTGCTATCATTCCTCACATTGTGGAGGAATTTGAGCGACTAAAACAAGAGCTACAAATAGCCAAAGCTCAGTCCAAGTTTCCACCAAAACAAGGTTGGAACCAGACCGAACTTCTTTGCTATTTACACACAACAACAATCCTATTTTATGACGGCTGCGCTGCCCATCAGAAGTGGTCACCAACCATGGGCTCAAATGACGAAAAATCACAAGAGATGGCTTTGAAATCGACAAGGACTGCACCTGAGCACGCTCAGGAAGGTCACCACCCTATTGACGGTTGACCTTGTGAAGGACAACCCCTGTGAACACAAATTCTCCATGTTGTACAGCATATTTGTCTTGTTTCTTTCTCTGGAAAAGATACAGCAGACCGATTTTCTTGGTCTACCCTTCCAAATCCCCACCAACAGAGTGGGAGCGCCAATCTGCCCATTGACAGATGACTTGAGAGAATTGCATCCAATTCTTTCCTTGGAAAAGGTATTTTCATTTGAACATATACATACTTGTCTGACCTAGTCCTGTGGACCAAGAATCAGATCCCTGAACTTGCGAAACTTCTCACCTTGCAATGACTTAGTCATAAAATCCGCAATCATATTGTCAGTTGGACAGTATTCGATCTTGACATTTCCTTTCTCAACTTGATCTGTGATAAAGAAATAACGAATATTGATAGCTCGGCTTCTTTTGCCCGCGCTCTTGCGACCATTCTCTTCCAGTAGAATCGCGCTTTTGTTATCCTGATACAAGATATTCTTCTCAATCGGATACCCTTGCCACTCCATGAACAACTTCGTCCATAGTATCATCGTGACAACATCGTCAACAGCAATCAGTTCCGCTTCTGTACTGCTTCTGCTGTTTGGCTTTTGTTTCTTTGACATCACTTGAGCTGCACCTCCTCCAAAGGACAGAGTGCCGCCAGTATGGCTCTTGAAATCTGGATGCACCGCAAAGATGCGTCGGTCATCCATTTCATAACTCGTAGTGATTCAGCGGAAAGTGTCATAGAAAAAATTATTTCAGAAACGAAACCACACGCGTTCCGGCAGAACCAACCAGTCTGCCTCGCGTAGCGCTAGTACTGAATTTACGTAGAAAACTTCAAATTTATCACCAAGCCAACCATTCAACACCAGCGCACCATGGGCAAATCTATCAACGCGAAGGCATCCTCGGCGATGACAAAAAAGTCAGGCGTGTCTAAGATGAAAACGACCTCTGTGGCTAAAAAGTCCGTCAAGAAACGAGTGGAAATTGACCTCCAACAGCCTAAAGACAGGGATCCCATCGATTCCAAGATGGTGTCTGAAACCCAAACTGAAGAGAAGCGTGTTACCGACGATAATGAAGCGCAACGCATGGCTGATGAGATTGAGGCGAAACGAATCGCCGAACGAGAAGCTCGCAGGAGCGGACATTACGACAGCATTGTCCCAAACCTGTCGGAGTGGTGGATGAAGAATTTATATTCAGGAGATGCTGTCGACGAAGCATTGGAACGCCATGACCGTATCCATACGGGTAACGCGCTTTTTATGGCGTGGGAAGAACGTTTTCCTGCCGCTTGGAACCAGCCCTGCCTCCGGTATGACGGTCCATTTAACGACAATACAGGGACAGCAACTTGTGAAGATCGTTTCGCCCGCATTTTCACATCAATGAATTCGGATAATAGTCAATTGACAAAAGACCTCATTGCCGCATTTGACACTGAAACGATGGAAGTGAATCCGTCTGAAGAAATCTGGTCCTTACGCATTTTGGCCATGCGGATGTCTTTACAAAATCCGATGTATTCTATTTCCGAACCAGGTACGGATGTTCAACGCGATTCCACCAGCTCCGAAGGGGACCAGGTGCAAAACTCAAATCGCTTTGCACCTCTACAAAGTGACGATGACTCGTTTGACGGTAGTGGAATTCAAGAATTCGACGAGGTTGAAGTGGTGGCGGTGAAAAAGAATGACTCCAAGGCGCCTGAGTCGTCAGATGAAGATGAAGACACTGATGCTGATGACACTGACGACAGGGAGAACATTGTGGACGACGCAATGGAGGAAGACCGCTGGGGCGAACCCGCACGATGAGGCCATGGACGACAACACTCTACCGTTGACTTCTCCTAAACTTACGGCAACACAAGACTCAGCAGGTACAGGGACCCTTATGGAGCCCTCGGAAACAACTCCTTCTCGCGTTCAACGTCCCCCAACACTGGCCGAACGGATCTCGAACCTCATTCAGGTGAACATGGAAGGGATACCAGGCAAATGTCACATCTTTGAGACTACTTTCTCCGTGGACTATCAAGGGTCGGATTCAGGAACTGTGGCGGAGGCGCTCTTGTCGACAGTTCTGAATTCTATGGAGGAAGCCATCAACAATTCCCCTAATGAATTGAAGCTTCTTCCGATCTCTGATACCACATATAAGCAACCAAATCTTTGGATTCGAAACTCAGTAGATTCACGTAATCGCATTTCGACTTATCGCGCTCTGTCGACTTACTGTGATATGGAATACGGTAACTGTCCCTACGCGGCAACCAACAGCAAGCCGGGCGAGAAGAAACTACGCACACGCATTCGCGTCGGCTTCTCGGCTGAGGCTTCGGTCGAGGCCGTCCAAGACTATCTTCATACCGGATTACGTCAATTGGGGAGAGGTGCTGGGTGCTACCCTTCTCCCTTGCAGTATGGAGAAATTGTGAAGATCGGATCATGCTCGTTTATTCCTGCAGAAGTCAACTTCTCAGCTTATGCAAAGGAACTGATGAGACTATTTGATTTCGAAG